TTTCCATTGAGCAAATTTATTTTCGAAATTCTAATTTGCGCATTTTCATGGTCAATGGAAACGCAGCAACTGTTATCCACTCACATTCTAGATTTGAGCCAAATATGTCTAAAAAAATTGCTGAGTAATGGTCAATTTCACATTTTAGCTATGGTGGCCATCTTGAATTATTGATTTGGCTTTATGAAGATCCTTCTTAGCTACCATGACACAAAATTTCGTCCCAAAATGTCTTAAAATGTGGTTTCAAATTAGCTTTGGTGGCCATTTTGAATTTATATTTAGCATTCAGAATTTGTCAAAGCTTCTTCTTGGCTACTACTGTACCAGTTTTCAGCTCTGTACGTCCTAAAATGGCTGAATTAGAGCTTTTTTTTAAAATCAGCATTAACGGTTAGCTTAAACTTGTGATTAGCGTTCAAACGTGTTGGCTTAGCTCTCAGCTACCAACCCACCAAGTTTCAGCTTTGTTTTAAAACTGCTGATCAATGTGGGAACCATCTTGGGTTGTTCTGTCTCTCAGTAACAGCCTCAGCCAATCAGAAGGCCTGACTGTGATGTCGTTACAGGGAGTCACAGAAAAGACATTTTCAACATGAGAAAACCTCTGAAAAGTTTAGTTCAAACAACCAGCTGCTGTGTGAAAACTGTAAGGTAAATTCTAATAATTCTTGAACTGTGAGCGACAGAAGAGATCGTTTTTTACTCTTGGAAATTTTCAGATCTGTACAGATCTTTTTCTAAGAGATACAACAATGTAAAAACAGTTGTTTTGCTTCAGAACTAGWGTGTGAAGTAAAATTTACACAGAGAAAGACAGAAAGGGAAGTGGTACTTCCCTGACGTCTGATGCACTTTGATAGAAAACCATTTGTCTTACAGCAAAACTAGAAACATTATCTGAAAGAAGACAAAAATGTCTACATTTTGATATATAATTTGTCTATCATAAAAACTGGCTGTAGGAAGAAGTTGTTCGCTAAGAAATATTTTAAAAACCAAACAGCTCTCACTACATTGTGGCAGTTAAAGTCGGTTGGAAGATGAGCTCAGTGGCTGGGTAAAAATAATCGATTTAATCAGTCTTGGATCGATTTAATTTGAATTTGGGAAAAAGGATTCACAGGGCATGAGATCGATTCTTCCACATGGCGTCATGTTTGCACGTCTGAAACGCGTTTCTATATTTTGTCTCTTCTGGCTTGCCGTAGATTTACATCCAACYGATGTTCAGAGCTAATGTTAGCTTTCAGTAACAATTTGTCTGGGTCAAAACACAAGAAACTAAGAAATAACTCACATTATCAGCTGACTCAGCAGAACTTAAAGATAACAGAGAGCATGATGACATTTGTTTGCAAAGATTTGTGCTCCTACATGGTGGTGAAAATGAAGAAAGCTTCAACAAACAGTTAGGCGCTCAAACCAAACAACTGTATGTAAACATCTGACTGGAACTGTTCTCCACAGCATGTTTAAATGTGTTAAAGACCACTTTCTAACAAAATCATTTAGTTTGTTACCAATATTATTATTTTAAACTTTGAGAAATGGTCTTAATGAAACTACAGTGATGAAATGTTATATTTGTTTTAATAAATTATAAGTTTTAATAAGTTATATTGAACATAAGAGAAGCTAACAGAAACGTTACAATAAACAATTATCATACACTCAAAAGGAGTGGGCAGAAGTAAATTTATATTAGCCAACTTCTGCTCCTGCAGCCTTATTCCATCACTTCTTATTTATCAAAACAATGATTAATTTCTTAAAAATTAATGCATCCAACAACACTGTCACCAGCAATTCCTTTATAATTTAAAACCTTTGAAACTTGTGACATTTTTGTTTCAAGATTAAACTGTTTAATATTAAATGTCCTTATGGTGAAGAGAAAAAAATAGTGATGTTGTATTTTGCAACACAGTTGAACCATTTTCATTATTTAAGAGCAGATCGAATCGAATCAAATCAAATCGTGATTAATCGATTCAGAACCTTATGAATCGAAATCAGTCTAGAGAATTGGCCATGATACCCAGCCCTAAAGTTCAGTGTGTTCTTATGAGGATTTTTGTCTATATTTTTGCAACGTACTTTGCCTTGATATCTCGAAACGCCACTAAAAGTAGTAGCACACCTCCCACTGCTGAGCCGGTCGTTTTGATGTAACTTTTGTAGGGGTGCATGTTTCCGTTCAGGCCACATTAATGTACGACTATAATAAAGTATAGAGACCCTTTTTTTAAGGTGAATAACAACAGGTGCCATTCAGTTGAATGGAGGCAGCTGCTCTCTTTCATTTGATATAGAAAACCCTAAAAATGTTAATGTTTTTAATTGTTAATGTTTGTGTTTTTCTGAAGGGAAATGTCCGACTCCTCTGAAGAACAGAGACTTCGTGACGATGAGGTCTTGGCTTCCCCTCGGCAGTGACTACATGATCATCAACTACTCCGTCAAACACCCGGTTAGTGTTTCACCAACAGACCTCAGGACTTCTGTCCACCTGTGACCCTGGGGTTAAATAACGTCCTGTTTGACAATAAGACAACACTTCCTGTTTCTGTCTTCACAGCAACATCCTCCTAAGAAGGAGTACGTCCGAGCTGTGTCCCTGCTGACGGGCTACCTGATCCAGTCAAACAGCAACAATAGCTCCACTCTCTACTACCTGACCCAGGTGGACCCCCGAGGTGAGACGGGCTCTCAAAACTCACACTGAGGCGAGCGTTTTGACTGTCTAAGTTTGTCTCCTGCTGTCCTCTGTCTCTGCAGGTTCGTTACCAAAGTGGGTTGCGAACAGAGTCTCTCAGTTCGTGGCTCCGAAGGTAAATGTCTGATGGGTCTCTGAGGTTGATCTGGTTTCTGTTTCCGGTCGAACCACGTCTCACTGTCTCTGTCTTCTCAGGCCATGAGGAAGATCTACAAGGCGTCTCTGAAGTACCCTGAATGGAAACGAAAACACAACCCGACCCTGAAGCCGTGGATGTTCCCGGAGCAGAACACCCTGCCCTCCATCAGCCCGTCGGAGCTGACGCTGCAGGACGCCGACTCTCTGGAGAACATCGACGAGAGCGGCCTGAGCGAAGACAAGACGCACCAAAGCGATGAGGAGGAGACCTAAGACGACCTCAGACTCTGACCTGGAYGGTTTGTTTGACAAAAATATGAGCTAAAAACCTGTCTGACAGCGAACGCCTCACGCTTCTTCAGTTTCTGACATTTTCATGTTTTTGGACTTCAGATGTACCTTCGGCTGAATTCCTCTGGCCACCAACTGTCCATCGTCTGTCCACCAACTGTCCATCGTCTGTCCACCAACTGTCCATCGTCTGTCCACCAACTGTCCATCGTCTGTCCATAAACTGTCCATCGTCTGTCTATAAACTGTCCATCGTCTGTCTATAAACTGTCCATCGTCTGTCTATAAACTGTCCATCGTCTGTCTATAAACTGTCCATCGTCTGTCCATAAACTGTCCATCGTCTGTCCACCAACTGTCCATTGTCTGGTCACCAAATGTCCATCGTCTGTCCACCAACTGTCCACTCAGAATTCCACCAGTGTCCCTACAGACGTCAAACATGGTGTTCATACGAGACTGTTTATCTTCACTGTCTCCAGGCTCTTCAAGGTGTTATCAGGGTTTTCCAGGCCTTTCAAAGACATTTTAGATCTCGTCTTTATTGCATTAAAACAAAGAACAGAAACGTGCTGCTTCAGATTATTTGTTCTTGATTGTTGGTTATTTTATTTTATTTATTTGGGGAAAAAAACTCTGTCTTCAGTTTTATTGTGATAAGTTTACTTTTTTTTCTGTTACAACTGAAACCAGTAATTAATATGAATTTGTGAAGAGTGTAGAATCAGTTTTTACATTTTAAAACTAAAATTATTGTTAAAAACTAAAAAAAAAATACAATCAATATGTGTGTGATTAATAAAAAGATCCTTGTGACCCGGTCTTCGTGGTTTGTTGGTACTTGGACGATGTCCTGATGGTCTGTTGGTTCCTCAGAGGGATTTCCAGCAGGAACTGGATCAGGTTTGGRTCTGAGGAGAGGACAGATGTTCCGTGTCCCTGTTTGGGACTCATGAGCATCTGGATGCTGAGAGGCATCTCTGTGGCTGCAGCTCTCCCTGGTGGATGTGTCACCTCATTACACCACTAATGGTTGAAAAATGTGCTCTACTAGAGGCTGCAGAAAATTCTGACCCAACATGAAGTTCAGTGTTTGTCCAAATCCACCCAGACTCTGAGTTTAGCTCCTGGGCCTGTGGTCTGGTTGAAGCTTCGGCTGATGTAGTCTTTGTTTGAAGTGGAAACAGGTAGATTTTAGTGTCGTTCAGGTGAAACTGCAGGTGACCTTCATGAGAAGGACTCATCTTCAGTCTGTTGGATCATCACACAGATGTTGACCAAAGACTCTGTGACCTTTTAACCTCTGCATTAACCTGGAAGGTATCTCCTGAGGCCACACGGTGGTGCTGGTACAAGCATGAAGACCACGTCATTGTGGAGACGTGTGACTGAAGCTCTTCCTGGTCCTGATGAGGAAAAACATCATGCAGGACCGTTTCCTCCTCAGCAGCTGAAGAATGCAGCTGTATTGTCTCAGCCACTTCCTGTTTCCCGTCTGCTCAGCTCTGATTGTTGTTTGGCAGCGAGGAGGAAACTCCACCACCGTCCAGCGTCTTACTGCTGAGAGGACAGGACACAGTGTCCACCAGGACTTCCTCTGAACCAATCAGACCCGAGTGAACGACTCGGAGGAACTAAAACCTGGTTCAACATACAGATCCATCAAACAACAGTTTAAACGCAGACAGAAATCAGACACAAAACAAATCCAGAACTGGTTATTAAATTGGTTTGGGGCCAGGGTCAAAGTTCTAGTCCAAACCAAGGTCCAAATAAGCAGCGATCCACTTTAAAACGAGGTTCTAATAAAGTTTAATCTAAACTTGTTTACAAGTGAGGCAAGACCATGTTAAACCAGGTTAAAGTCAAATCTATTGTTATTAAAGCCTAGTTCACAAACTAAACTACCAGTTAAAACTACGAGTCTAAAGTCAGGGTCAATCTGGTACAAAAAACAAATTAATTACATTATGGGTTTAAATTAATAATATTAATCAATTGTAATATTTGATATTTCTAATTTTACTCTTACATTGCTATTAAACCTGTGAGCTTTATTTGAAATTGAATTTAAATAAAATGTAATTAAAAATAATTTATAATAATTTTGATTGCTATTAAAAATAATATCACCATGAAATTATACTATATTATAAGTTGTGTTTTTGCTCGTTTCTTAAATTTAAAGTACTTAATTTTTTTAAAATTGTTTTTAGTTTTTATTTTGGTTTGACAGCCTGACCGGAAGTGGCGCATTTGTTCACTCTTCGAGGCTTTTATTCTGAAACTCGCCGGAAGCTGTAGCGTCGTTATCCGGTTTAACTTGTCTCCTCCGCTCCGAGTCCGAGTTTCCCCTCCCAGAACAGAACTGCCAGTCTGACCCGAACCGCTCTGGACTTTACTGGCTGATTTTACCGGGACCACAGAACGGAACCACAGTCACACCGGGACCAGAACCAGGACCAGGACCGGATCAGAGGTAAAGACTTGTTACAAGCTGTGTTCTTAATGAACCGGAGCGAAACTCGGGCTCAGAGTTTTTTAGGGTTCTAGTTCTGTCCCGGGTGCTGAGTCCAGTCTGAGTGGACCCGGGGACGGAGATCCTCCTGGATTCCAGCTGCCTACAGGTGTCAGACAGAAGAGACCCGGACCCGGACTGAGTTTTAAGTCCAGATCTTGGAGTTGTTTGAGTCTGTCTGGTTCTGGTTCTGGTTCTGATCTTCAGCTGCTGAAGAGACGGTCTGAAGAGGGTCACAAAGGGTCTCCGAACAGGTGCGTTACCAGCCCAGGTGGTCCTGGAGGTGGACCCTGTGATCAGGAGACCCTCGGGTCTAGGCGGCTCAGGTCTGGGACAGGTTTTAGTCCACATGGTTACACCAGAACCAGAACCAGCACCTTCTTCTTCTTCTTCTTCTTCTTCTTCTTCTTCTTCTTCTTCTTCTTCTTCTTCTTCTTCTTCCTCCTCCTCCTCCTCCTCCTCCTCCTCCTCAGGGGTCTCCTCAGACCACCTGTCTCCATCACACCTGCCCCTCTCTGCGTCTCTGTATTCAACATCCTTCTGTCCAACATGTCCCCTGTCCCTCTGATGGACACGTCTCCTCCTCCTCCTCCTCCTCCTCCTCCTCCTGTCCTCTGTGTCTCCAAACCAAACGTCTGAGCAGGTCTCGTCTCGTGAACGTCCACTCTGTCCACCAAGTCTTCTCTGCTCGTTGCTTTGGACGGTGGACCCCAAGAACCTGGACTCACCTCTTCAGACTCTCTTCCACCTGCTCCCTCCTCTCACTGCAGATCACAGACCAGAACCAGGCCAGAACCAGGTTAGAACCAGGCCAGAACCAGGTCATACTGAGACCAGAACCAGGCCAGAACCAGGCCAGAACCAGGCCAGAACCAGGTTAGAACCAGGTCATATTGAGACCAGAACGAGGCCAGAACCAGTCCAGAACCAGGCCAGAACCAGGCCAGAACCAGGTTAGAACCAGGTCATACTGAGACCAGAACCAGGCCAGAACCAGTCCAGAACCAGGCCAGAACCAGATCAGCTGTGTATCAGTGATGATGATGATGATGATGATGAT